CACACCTGTAGTTCCAGCTACTTGAAAGGCTGAGGCGGAAGGATTGCCGGAGCCCAGCAGGTCGAGGCTGTGGTGGCCAGGAGCAGTCGAGGCTGCGGTGGCCAGTAGAGGCCACTGCACTCCAGTCTGGGCGACAGAGTGAGACTCCAGCTCAAAAAAACCCCCCCAAAAAACCTCCCAAAACAAAAACATAATTCCTTATTATGGCTCAATTGTATTCCATTGTACAGATAGACCATATTTTGTCCATGGTTTCTATGCTTGCTAGCTAATGTCCAATCTCTCAACCTTGGGGAAATGGGGATGGGCAATGCAATCCTCAGAGGTGCTTGGGAATCTACCCATGACTCTGCATGACCCAGACCCTCTCTGTGCCCAGGTCGGCTGGGGTCATGAACCTGAAGGAGGCAGGAGACCAAGGTGTGACCATGTGGGGCAAGGTTCAAGCTCCCTGGTTTGGGCTCCTTGATCCCATTCGACCTCACTTGCCAACACGGATTAAAAGATAAATTTATTTATTTATTTATTTGAGTCAGAGTCTCACTCGGTCACCCAGGCTGGAGTGCAGTGGCATGTTCATGGCCATCGCAGCCGCAACCTGCTGGGCTCAGGCGATCCTTCTGCCTCAGTCTTCTGAGTATCTAAAACTACAGGCATGTGCCACCAACCCAGTTAATTTTTTGATTTAATGTACAGATGAGGACTTGCCAAGTTGTCCAGGCTAGTCTTGACCCCCTGGGGCTCTGGCAATCCTTCACCTCTGTCTCCCATGGTGCCGAGATTAGAGACAAGTTCCTCTGTGTCCGGCGATAAAATGACTAAGAATGTCAAGATGGCAGCTTCAGAGCATTAAATCCCAGATGTGGCCAGGCATGGAGGCTCATGCCAGTAATTCCAGCACTTTGGGAGGCCAAGGCAGATGGATCACTTGCATTCAGGAGTTCGAGACCAGCCTGGGCAACGTAGTGAGACAAAAAATTTTTTGAAAATTTAGTTGACATGGTCATGTTAACAACTTGGAATGCTGAGGTGGAAGGAGCAACTGAGCCCAAGAGGTTCAGCCTGGGCCACAGAGTGAGACCCCAACTCAAAAAAAGAAATCCCAAAGGTGAGGCCATCAGGGTTTTGTGTAACTGCTTCAGGTCTCATGTGGAGCTGGGAGCCTGGTGTGAACCAGAGATGGCTCCAAGACAGGCAGGGGAGCAGAGCAACCTTGGGGAGCCTGGGAGGCCCTGGGCTGGGGATCATGTGAGGGTGAGGCCCTTGGTAAGGCCCTTGTGGGCTGGGATTGACTGTTCCCGTTCTACTCTTTGCCTCCTGCCCCTGCATGGAGTAGACTTTACCTGTAGAATGAATGAATGAATGAATGAATGGGAGCCTGCATCCATCAACTCACCTAGAGCCAGGGCTCATCTGTGTCTCCCAGATCCCTCCTAGGACTGCCTGCCCCTGAGACTGACCCAGGTGCTCCTCCCAGGGTTAGGTCCTCAACCCCCCTGCCCTTCTGCTTCCCTCTGAGAACGAGAAGTAGGGACAGGGCATCTCTCTGGACATTTGCGGTTCTGAGGTTCCTCTTCTGGGGATGTCACCGTCCCTTCCCTGAGTGTCAAGTTAAAGCTTCCTTCCCAGACAGACCCAGACGCCAGATGTTCCCGGGACGGGCCCAGGCCCTCAGTGCCTAGCAATGCTGCTGCTGTCCCTGTTGCTGCCTGTGCTGGGGGCAGGTGAGTAGAGTGACAGCTGGGGGTCTCTGGTGGGGGCTGAGGCTGCAGCTGAGCCTCAGTGTCCCCCCAGGGTCCCTGCAGGAGGATCCAAGGTTCAAGTCGGAAGTGCAGGCGTCGGTGACGGTGCAGGAGGGCCTGTGCGTCTCTGTGCCCTGCTCCTTCTCCTACCCCCAGGACGGCTGGAACGAGTCGACACCAGTTTATGGTTACTGGTTCAAAGGAAGGAACACTGGTGTTCCAGTGGCCACAAACAACCAGGCTCAACAGGTGCAAACGAGGACCCGGGACCGATTCCAGCTCACCGGGAATCCCCGGAACAAGAGCTGCTCCTTGGTGATCAGAGAAGCCCAGAAGGAGGACAAGGGAACGTACTTCTTTCGCGTGGAGAGAGGACGCACCGTGAGACACGGTTTCGAGAAGTCATTCTCTCTGAAGGTGACAGGTGTGGAACGGAGTGAGAATCCCTGCTTCTCATCCTGGAGAGGGAGAGTGGGGACGGGCCACAGGCTGAGCGCAGAGGGCTCTCCGGGCACCCCTGCGGCACTGTGATCACCCTTCCATCTGTCCCAGAGGTTAAGAAGCCAGAAGTCTATGTCCCCGAGGTCTTGGAGCCCAACCAGCCAGTGACGGTCCTCTGTGTGTTTAACTGGACCTTCGAGGGATGTCCAGCCCCTTCCTTCTCCTGGCTGGGGGCTGCCCTCTCCTCCCAGGGAACCCGGTCAGCCTCCCACTTCTCAGCGCTCAGCCTCATGCCCAGATACCGGGACCACAACACCGACCTGACTTGCTGTGTAGACTTCACAAATGGTGTGAGGACAGAGAGGACCGTCCGACTCCGCATGTCCTGTGAGTGTGGCGGGGGCTGTGGTTGCAAACAAGCCTGGGGACAGGGAGATGGAGAGCCTAGCAGGGAAGGCACTCCGGAAGGTCCCTGTAGAGGAAGCCATGGGGTCCCGGGATAGGCCCCAGCCCTGGGAGGGGGATGGGAGGGGTCTCTGGTCCTCAGTGCACGTCCTTTTCTGTGAGGGTGCTTCTCCATTGTGGGAACTAAACATCCTCCTGAGGCTAGCTCACTCTCTTTGCAGATGCCCCCAGAGCCCTTGTCATCAGCATTTCCCATGACAATTCGTCAGGTACTGAGGACACTGAGGGCCCATTGGGCTGGGGCTGGCCAGTCCTCTTAGGGTGAGAAGGTTTCAGGGGGTGAGGGAATGGGCTCCTGCCGGCAGCTCGTGCTCTTTCTCCCACCCCCCTTTTTTTCTCTCTTCTATTCTCTCCCTCCTTCTCCCCTCTCCTCCCCTCCCCTGTCCTCTTCTCTCTCTCTCTCTCTCTCTCTCTCTCTCCAGCCCCAGAGCCTCAGGGATACCGCCCACGCCTGGAAGTCCAGAAAGGCCAGTTCCTGCGGCTCCTCTGTGGTGCTGACAGCCAGCCCCCCGCCACGCTGAGCTGGATCCTGCAAGACAGAGTCCTTTCTTGGTCCCACCCCTGGGGCCCCAGAACCATGGGACTGGATTTGCCTGGGGTGAAGGCGGGGGACTCAGGGCACTATACCTGCCGAGCAGAGAACAGGCTGGGCTCGCAGCAGCACACCCTGGACCTCTCTGTGCTGTGTGAGTGTGACCAGCAGGGGCCCGGTGTCCATCCAGGGGAGAAGGGGGAGGGAGCGAGGGCTGGGGAGGATTCCAGAGCTCTGAAGGACCTGGAGCCCCAGGCCTGAAGCACCAGACATTCTTCCCTTCCTCGACCCTTGGCCGGTTTGTATCTGGGACTCAGCGGGTAACTCTGCCCCCGCCCACCCGACCCCATCCCACCTCTTCCATCTCCCAGGATGGTCCCCTGTGCCCAGAGGGAGGTCCAGGCCCTCTAGAGCCGCTGCCCTGTCTCCCTCTCAGATCCTCCAGAGAACTTGACAGTGACGGTTTCCCAGGCCAACAGGACAGGTGAGAGAGGGAGACACAGGAACCAGGGCCTCTCGGAGCCAAACTGGGGTCCTGGTGTCTGGGGTGTCCCCAGGCAGGAGGGAGCCAGAGCCCTAGGCCGCCCATCACTTCCGCTCTTCCCTTCCCCAGTCCTGGAAACACTCAGGAATGGCACGTCCCTCCCAGTCTTGGAAGGCCAGAGTCTGCGCCTGGTCTGTGTCGCCCACGGCAACCCCCCAGCCAGGCTGAGCTGGGCCCGGGGCAGACAGACCCTGACCTGTCCCAGGCTTCAGACCCAGGGGTCCTGGAGCTGCCTCAGGTGCAAATGGAGCTCAAGGAATTCAGCTGCTGTGCTCAGAACCTGCTGGGCTCTCAGCAAGTTTCACTGAGACTCCCTGTACATGATGGTTGGGGGCTGAGCATCCCAGTCCCGGGCATGGGACAGCCGTCAAGCCTTCTCCTCCCTCCTGCAGACCCCTCATGGCTGCCAGGACCCTCCTGCTCCTGGGAGGCTGAGGGTCTATGCTGCAGCTGCTCTGGCCCGGCCCAGCCGGCCTCCTCCCTGCGCTGTTAGCTTGGGAAGGGGCTGAGGGAGGGGAACGGTGGCCAGGGTGCCTTCAAGGTTACCCCCAGCTCAGCGGGGTCCTGGGCCAACAGCTCCCTGAGCTTCCGCGGGGTGCTGGACTCCAGCTTCGGGCTCAGCTGCGAGGCTCGGAACTTCCCTGGACCCTGAGCCCTCTGTTTGCTGCTTGACAGTTGGAACACCGCTGGGTGAGAGAGGCCCTGGCTCTCATGGTCCCACATCCTGCACACAGGAAGGGCCTGGAGAGTCCCCAGGTCAAGTCCTCCTGGGGGAGGAAGGAACCAGGACTGTGAATCAGCAGGTCTATCGGCCTCACCTGGTTTTTCTACAGGGAAATCAGGGCCTCTGGCAGAAGTGTTTCTGCTGGCCCTCAGGGTCTTGGCTGTGAAAGTCCTGCTTCTCTGCCTCTGCCTTGTCTTCCACAAGTGAGTGCTCCCCAGGGACCAGGGGGAGGCATGGCAGGGCAGGGAACATGAGGCTGAGTTCCTTGTCCGAGTGCGGGAGGGAGCGGAACGGGCCAAAGGGCCTGGGAGAGGCAGGTGGCTGAGTTGTGGAGAGAATCCATAATGATGGTGAACAGTCGACTGTCTCCGACTCTGGCAGTTCCCAGAGTGAGGAGGTTCCTGGTCCCATCAGGAAGGTGTTGGTGGCTAGACCTGCTCTCTTACCCTGAGTCCCTCCAGCCCCGCAACAGGGCACAGGGAGGTGACTCTGCTGCCCTCTGACCCTGATCTGGCCACACTGACAGGCCTTGGTCTCTTCCCTCAGGGCGAGGTCCTGCAGGAGGAAGGTGGCATGGGCGGCAGCAGGCATGGAGGATGAGTACACTGTCATGGGTTAACCTCTCAGGTGAGTGTCGTGGGCGTCTCACCCTCCAACATCCCTCTGGACACCTCCTCCGGGCGTCTCCAGGATTGCTCCGCTCAGCGTGGCCACAGTGAAGCAGCCCATCTTCCTCTCCAAACCCACATCCCCTCTGGGGTGCTCGTCCTGCTGATGACGCGGCAGCCCCATCTCTACAGCCAGAGCCAGGGTGTGTTTCTCACCTTGACCTCCCTCCCTCCTCCAGATCCCATCCACCACCAACTCTCATCCTTCCTTCTTCTAAGTACAACTCCACTTGTTTTGGGGTTTTTTTTGAGTTGGAGTCTCACTGTGTTGCCCAGGCTGAAGGGCAATGGCCACCTCAGCTTTGATCTGCTGGGCTCAGCTGATACTTCCAAGTAGGCCTGTGCCATCATACCCAGCTAATGTTTTGAGTTGCTGTAGAGATGAGGTCTTTCCAAGTTGCCCAGGCTGGTCTTGAACCCCTGAACTCAGTCAGCCCTCTCACCTCTGCCTCCCAAGGTGCTAGGACTATAGGAATGAGCCGCCGCGCCCGGCCCTCTTGGTGCTCTTTTTCCCCATCCCGACCCTGGTCGTTCCTGCAGCCTCACTTCCACCCCAGTCTGTGAAGTCACCTCCGCCCCTGCCTTCCTCTCTCCCCAACACAGGCCTCCAGACTGTGCTCCCAGATGCCTCCTCGTCCTGGTCCTCCCCGGTCTGAACGGCCGTGTTTCCCTCCTTTGCTGGGGAGCGAGGTGCCCACACCACTGCCTGGACTGAGGGCTGTGCATGGTCTCTCCCTGCTGGACTCTGCTCCTGACTCCTCCTCTCCCTGCATCACCCAACGTCTCCCACACCCACCAGGCCCAGCCCTCTGTGCCTCTGAGACTTGCACGTGTGGTTCCCTCTCCTGAAACGCCCTTCCCTCCCCATTCCTGCCTATCGGGGTCCTGACTGTCCTTCAGGCTCGTCTCAAATGTCACCCAGATGTGTGTCTTCACTGTGTGGTGTTGAGTGGAAGAGACGCATGCTGCCGTGCATTTACAGACGCTCATCCAGCAGGAAATTGAACACCTACTGAGTGCCAGCTCATCAAAAGTGCCCTGGAAGCATCCGTGCCAGAACTTCAAACTCTCGTCATTTACGGACTCGAATAGACACTTCTCTAAGGAAGACACACGTATGGCCCGGGAGAAGTGAAAAGATGCCCCAAACCATTAGTCCCTAGACAGATGCAAATCAAAACTACTCATGAGACACCGCCTCACAATGATGAGGACAGATGCCACAAAGCAGACAAGGGCAGAGCATAAAAAGTGTCGTGAGGATGCACAGAAACAGAAGCCCTGTTCTCTGCAGGTGAAACAGTGCAGCCCGCGAAAAACCCTCTGTGTTCTCTCCAAGGTCAAGCACAGACTCACCACAGGGTCCAGCAATTCCACGCCGGCTATTTTCCCACAGGAAAGTCGGGCGTCGATAGACGCTTGCAAACCCACATCCATGGCAGCCTCATTCACAACAGCCCACGGGTGGGAGAAGCTGAGAATTTACCACCTGGCAAGAAGCAGCAGGTGGTCCACACACTCCTCCGGGACAATCTATAGCCTCGAAGGAAGGCATGGAATTCCAACACATCCTGGCTCGTGGGAGGATCCTAAACCAATATGTGGAGCGAAGAAGCCAGACACGAGACAAGAAATGGTGCATGATGTGCTCATGTGACTGACCTGGAAGAGGCCAATTCAGGGGAACCCAAGGGGATGGTTGAGTGCCGGACCTGGGGACAGGGAAGGGATGGGGAAGGATTGTGCAGTCTGTACAGAGTTTCTGTTGAGGATGATAAAAAAATTCTGGAAATAGTGGTTAATATTGCACCACTACATAAATGTGCTTAATGCACCTGAATTGTACCATATGGAATGTGAAAAATGGCAAATTTCATGTTATCATATTTCAGACAGTAAAATATGTGTAACATACACTTTAAGCGGGGAAAACTCAATCTCATCAAGGTGGTGTCATTCTGGAGAACAGAAGACAAGATGAATAAATCATAAAATGAGAGCCTGTGATCTGTGTTTGCAGGAAAACCATGCAGTGCTGAAAAAGGTCCTTATGACAGATTGGGGACAGTTTCTGGGTCTGATGGTTGAGGAGGTGACGTCAGGTAAAGACATGGAGTGGTGAGGCAGCAGTCTCTGTGTCTGCTTAAGAGAAAAGTCTTCCAGGAGGAAGAAAAGGGAACAGGAATCAGGGCTCAGAGGCAGCAGCAGGCCTGGAGCTGTGGACACAAGAGGCCCGTGTCTGATGCAGAGGGAGGCAGGAGGAGGGAGCAGCGGGGAGGACAGTGCAGACTGTGTGGGGCCTCACGGGTCATGCAGAGATCTGTATCCTTTGGGAAGAGCAGAGACACTCCTGGATTTTCCCCCTAACAGGACCTCATGGCCACCCTGGTCAGAACAGGCCTGAGTGGGTCATGGTAGCCACATTGGGAAGGCACCAATGGTACCTGTAGGAGGAGAGATGGCGGCTTGAGCCAGGGATACAGGGCTGAGCGAGGACACGTTTAGAGGATGGGTGTGGAAGGTCAGGTTCACAGGACTCTCTGATGATGTGGTCAGTGGGGGGAAGGGAAGGACCACGGTGATGCCAGAATGTTTCCTGGAGCTCCTGGAAGGACTGAGAGGGAGGATGCTAATTCTGAGAATCCCCCTGACATCTGAAAGGGGACAGGAGGGAGACAGCTGGACGCCATGCCTGGACCTCAGGAGAGGTGTCCAGGGCAGGGGGATGTTGCGGATATAATGATGACCACAGTTTAGAATCTTGTGTGTGTGTGTGTGTGTGTGTGTGTGTGTGTGTGTGTGTGTGTGTGTGTGTGTGTGTGTGTGTGTGTGTGTGTTGAGGTCTCACCCTATTGCCCAGACTGGGCTCAGGCAATCCTTCCACCTCAGCCTCCAAGTAGCCGGAACTGCAGGAGCATGCTACCGTGCCTGGCTATTTTTTTTTTTTATTGCAGAGCCAAGGTCTCACCAAGTTACCCAGGCTGGTCTCGAACCCGTAGGTTCAGGCAATCCACTCTCCACGGCCTCGCAAACTGTTGGGATTATAGGCTGAACCACCAAGCCCAGCCACAGTTTAGAATCTTTAGTGTAAAATGAGGACCGGAGAGAAGGGAACCCAGGGGATAGTGAGACAATGGCACATCCTCAGGAATGAAGACCCAAATCCCTGTGACCCAGCCATCCGCATACGGGTATTTACAGGAAAGAATTGAAAGTGGGACTTGGACAGATATTTCCACCCCCACGTCCATGGCATGTTTATTCTCAGGGCCCAGAGGGGGAAGCAACCTGGGTCCATCGGCCAATGATCGATGGGCGGGAGGTGGTGGGAACCAGAATGGAGTCCTTCCATTCTGAGGAAGGGAGGACACCTGGACTCATGTTGCCACAAGTGTGACCCTTGCCACTATCGTGTAAAGTGACACAGACAGTCACAAAAGGACAGGCACATTATGATTTGCTTATATATGGTGTCTAAGAGCTCAGGCTTAGGGGAACAGTCAGCAGAATGGTGGCTGCAGGGAGTGGGGGGAGTGTTGGGAGAAAGCGGGAGTTTCGGTTTCTGGAACATAGTTTCAGTTGTGCAAGACAAGGACGTCCCGGAGATCTAGGGCACAACGTGTGGTCACACGTCACATCCTGGACTGTAGACTCTGCGACCGCGTCAGCACGTGTCGGTCCATGAGGGACCAAACATATGGTGGTCCCGTAAGACGGTCGCAGAGCTGAAAGATGTCTGTGCCCAGCGACGTCCTCAGGTCCAACACGGTGGCACAACACAGTCCTCACGTGTGTGGTGATGCTGGCGTCAACAAGCCCGCTGCGCTGCCGGTCGCATCAAAGTCTCGCACATACAAGAATGTACCGTTTATAATACTTGATAATGATAACAAATGGTGATGTTACTGGTGTGTGTGCTTCCTCCGCTTTTCATCATTATTTTCAATGTGCTCTTTCCACCTCTCAAAAATGACAACTGTGAGACAGCCTCAGCCAGGTCCTTCAGTCCGCATTCCAGAAGGAGGCACAGTTGTCCTAGGAGGTGACAGTTCCGTGTGTGTCATTGTCCCAAAGACCTCCCAGTGGGAAAGATGTGGAGGTGGAAGACGGTGATATTGATGACCCTGATATTGTGTAGGCCTAGACCAGTGTGTGCGTTTGTATCTTAGTTCTAGGAAAGAAAAAGTTTAAAGGTTAAAGGAAAATGTTTAAGTAGAAAACAGCTGTGGGGCACAGAGGCTCATGCCTGTCATCCCAGCACTTTGGGAGGTGGAGACGAGAGGATTGCCTGTGCCCACGGGTTCAAAACCAGCCATGGCAACTTGGCAAGACAATGTTCTGGCTACTTGGAAGGCAGATGCGGAAAGATCGCCCAAGTCCAGTGGGTTGAGGCTGTGGTGGCCGTTAGTGTGCTGCTGCACTCCAGCCTGGGTGACAGCATGAGACTCCAACTCAAAAAAAAAAAAAAAGAAAACAGCTAATCGTATAATAGGAAGAAAGAAAAATTTACACAGCTGTATGTGTGTGTTTAAACCTAAATGTTATTATAAAAGGGTAAAAACGTTTTGAAAATGGTAAAGTTATGAGATTAAAAAGTTACAGTAAGCTAAAAATAAATTATTATTGAAGAAAACTTTAAAATAAATGAGTGTAGCCTTGTGTACAATGTTTATAAACCTACAGTTGTGGACCATAACATCCTAGGCCTTCACACTCACTCACCACTTGGTCACTCACCCACCCAGATTAAATGTCAGTCCTGTGAGCTCCATTCATAGTGAATGTCCTATGCATGCATATTGTTTTTAATATTTTATACTGTATTTTTACTGTACCTTTTCTGTGATCAAATATGTCTAAGTTGGGCCGGGTGCGACGGCTGACGCCTATAATCCCAGCACTTTGAGGGGACAAAGTGAGAGGATTGCCTGAGCCTACAGGTTCTAGACCAGTCTGGGCAACTTGGCGAGACCTACTCTCTATGATAAATAAAATAAAAAAAAAATAGCCAGGCAGGTAGCACACGTTACTTGGAAGGCTGAGGCAGAAGGGTCTCCGGAGCCCAGCAGCTCGACACTGGGATGGTCGTGAGTGTGCCACTGTGCTCCAGCCTGGGTGGCAGAGTGAGACTCCGATTCAAAAAAATAAGTGTCTGATAGATCCACAAATACTTATCATTGTGTTACAGTTGCCTATAATATTCACTACAGGAACATGCTGTACTGAGTTGCAGCCTATGAGCAATGACTGTACCACCTAGCCTAGGTGTGTAGGAAACTCTACCCCGGTGAGTGTGGTGTTCTCACAATGATGAAACTGACAAAACGCAGACTCGGACTGTATGACTGTTGTTAAGTGGCAGAAGTGTGTACTTAAAATAATTAAGATGGTAAATTTTAAACGTTTTTTTTCACAATGAATACATTTAAAAGAAAAACAATTCATCGTGCTAACAATAAAAAAACGAAAACAGGCAAAATCATTTGATGGTATTTTATATCAATTTATTAAAAATACTCAGCAAAAGCCGGGCTTGGTGGCTCAACCTGTAATCCCGTGCCTTTGGGAGGCTGAGGTGAGTGGATTGCCTGAGCCTGAGGGGTTCGAGACCCGCCTGGGCAGGTGAGACCTCATCTCTACAATAAATCAAAAAATTAGCCGGACGTGGTAGCATGCGCCAGTAATTCTGGCTACTCGGAAGGATCGCCAGAACCCAGCAGGTTGAGGCTGTGGTGGCCGGGAGCGGCCACTGCACTCCAGTCTGGGAGACAGAGGGAGACTCAAACCCAAAAAAAAAAAAAAAAAAAACTCAGCAAGGTCAAAATAGAAGGAAACACCTACCAACTCAAAGATGAGCAATTTTCACAATCCCACATTGACTCTGAAAGACACGACTTTTCCCTCTGGTTCTGGCAACAAGAAAAGAATGAATGCTGTCGCCACTTCTACTAGACAACATAGCTAGCACCTTCCCTGTGTAGGTAACCCAAGAAATGAAAATTAGGGCTGTTCAGATTAGAAAGGAAGAAATGAAACTGTCTTCATTCACTGACGACATGACCAGGTGCAGAAAAAATCTCAAGTTATCAGCAAAGAAGTTGTCAGACCAATGAATGAGTTTAGTGAGGAGGTAGGATATTAGTTCAAACTACATAATTCTTCTCCAGCTCTATATATTTGGCAAGCACTATGAGAAATGGAATGTTTTTAGTTGCAATTTACAGTAGTTATTATACCATGAAATCAATTTAACTATGGACTGTGAAAGTCCTGTACATTGAAGGATACAAAACATTGCTGAGCGAAATGAAAGAAAACCTCAACAAACAGGTATATGCATACCATGTCCATGGATTGGAAGGCTTTGGAATGTTAAGGTACCAGTTCCCCCAAATCACTCTATACATTCACTGTAATCCTAAATAAATTTCAGTGAGAGCTTCTGTAGAAATTGATAAGTTGATCCTACAGTTTATATGGGAAGGCAAAGACCTAGAATGCCCTAAGTATCTTGAGAATGGACACTAAATCCATTTAAGGAGTCTCCCTCCAGTTCCTATCCCATCCCCCAGGGTCCCCACCACTTCCCCCACTGCCCCCTCCCCCAAAGCCAGATCACGTTCTCCAAACTTAGGGCCAAGAGTTGTTTCCAGCAGATCCTGTGGGCTCCCAGGGGCGGGTCATCCCCGGCTGGGCAGTCCTCATTCAGGCCTCATTGTCTCCTGAGACAAAACCCCAGCAGAGGGAGCAGCAAGAACAAAGTCCCAGAGGCAGGGTAGAGTGTCACAACCAGAAACAGGGAGAGGAGAGGAGCGGTATAGGAACAGCTATTCAGAAATCAGTCACGGGAGCCGGGGCAGCTGTGGCCAAGGGGGCACTTGTATCCCTCAGCCCCATCCACAGAGAGTCCCAGACCCTCTCCTGAGATCCCTCCCCAGGTACCCCACTGTGAGGTCTGTGTCATTCCATCCACCTCCCACTCTGAGAATCCTGGACACACCTCTTCTGCTGTTCTTTCCCCAGAACTCATCTTCCCCTGGGGGGAGCAGCCCCGCCCCCTGGCAGTGCACCCCTATCTCGGGTTCCTCCTGGTGACTCTGCAGCTCCCTGGTGGACAGTAAATACAGTGTCCGGGCTTGTCAAGTTGAGTCCTTGTCTCTTCTCCCCAGAAGAGAGTAGGACTCAACCCCATGTGCTTGGAGAAATAGTGACAGGATACATGAGTGAAAGATCCCCTGCCGCCATATATAAGGAACATGAATAAAACTGAAGTTTGCAGAAACTTGAAATTAAAGATGATGGTGGTAAATTATGTAAACATCAAACTAAAAACGTTGGTGCCGTGATCCTAATATCAGAAGAAGCAGTCTCAAGGCAAAAGGCATCACCACAGGTTAAGAAAGGGGACTTCTTAAAGATCAAAGGCTTAGGTCAAGGTGAGTGGATTGCCTGAGCCCGTGGGTTCAAGACCAACCTGGGTAACTTGGCAAGACCTCGTCTCTACAACAAATAAAAAATTAGCCAGGCGTGGTAGCACACACCTGTAGTTCTGACTACTTGGAAATCTGAGGCAGAAGGATCTCCGGAGCCCAGCAGGTCGACACTGAGGTGGTTGTGAGCATGCCACTGCACTCCAGCCTGGGCAACACAGTGAGACTCCAACTCAAAAAAAAAAAAAAAAGATCAAAAGCTTAATTCAACAGAAATATATAAAAATTTAAACACATATGCAGCTACTAATCATGCCTTAAAATACAAAAAGCACAAGTATTTGCAGATTACATCTCCCATCATCACAGGGATGCTCGAAGACTTAGTGTCTCCCCACTGAACAGTGACTCCTGGGGACAGTGTCTAGGTCTGGCATATTGACCTCATCTGGCAGACTGAAGATGGTCTTCTTGTGGTTGCTAAGGGAGAGGGGAGAAGTTGTCTGCCCCCCAAACTGGGTCCATGTGTCTCCAGTCCCTGAGTCCCACCCTGACCTCCACCAACATCTTCATCCTTGTCTGGGATCTGGCCCTCATTTAATGTTTCTTTCTTCTTCTTTCCTTTCCTCTCTCTCTCTCTCTCTCTCTTTCTCTTTCTTTTTTTCTTTATTTTTCTTTCTTCCGTCCCTCCCTCACTCCCTCTCTTTTTTCTTTTTCTTTCTTTCCTTTCCCTTTCTTTCTTCCGTCTCTCTCCTTTCTTTTTTTTTTTTGGTGGAGTCTTACTCTGTTGCCCAGGCTGGAGTGCAGTGGCATGCTCACACTACTGCAGCCTGGACTTCCTGAGGTCAGGTGATCCTTCTGCCTCAGCTTTTCAAGTAACTGGAACCACAAGCATGTGGCACCACATCCGGTTTTTTTTTTTTTTTTGGTGGAGACATGGTCTTCCAAAATTGCCTAGGCTGTTCTCCAACCCCTGGGTGGAGGCAAGCCTCTCACCTCGACTCCCAGTGTCCCATCTTCACCTTGCAGAAAATGTCCCCCAAGAGGAAAGACATTGACAGGGAGGTGAAAGAGATGGGTTGGGTCCTGCACAAGGTGTGAATTTGACTGAGTCTCTCTTCATCTCTGGCCTCAGGGTCCCCAGGAATGGGCGTGGGGTGGGGACAGTTGGTCTCCAAGGGTGTGGGAGGTCACTGCTCTGGCCTCGCCCCCGTCTTCCTGTGGGTACTCCTCTGAGTCTTGAGCTCTTAGCTCCTGAGAGAAGAGCCAGGAGGAACAGACTTTCCCCGGCGGCCCTGGAATGTCCCACACCAGACATGCTGTGGCTGCTGCTGCTGACCCTGCTGTGGGGGACGGAGGGGACAGAGGGACAGAGAAGGCGTGGCGATGGCTATGTGCTGAGTGTGAAGTCAGTGACGGTGCAGGAGGGCCTGTGTGTCTCTGTACCCTGCTCCTTCTCCTACCCCCAGGGTGACCGGACTGACTCTTACCCAGCGTATGGCTACTGGTTCCGGGAAGGGGCCAATGTTGACCAGGATGCTCCAGTGGCCACAAACAACCCAGCTCAAAAAGTGCAGGAGGAGACCCAGAGCCGATTCCACCTGCTCTGGGACCCGTGGACAAACAACTGCTTGCTGAGCATCAGAGACACCAGGAGGAGTGATGAGGGGAAATACTTCTTTCGAGTGGAGAGAGGATGGGCAAAATACAACGACATATCTTTCCAGCTCTCTCTGCTTGTGACGGGTAAGGCCTGGGCTTCAGAAGCGGCGACAGGGAAAGTCACGGGCTGCAGGGCAGGGCTGGGATGACAGCTCCGTCCTGGGAGGGTGTTAGGGTGGAGAGTGCCAGGCTCAGAAGCTGGACCAGAGTCTGGCTGGGCTTCTCTCAGGGCCATACCTCAGACCCTCCCTCCTGATCCTGCGTATCCCCCTCTCCTCACCAGCCCTGACCCACACACCCGACATCCTCATCTCCCAGCCCCTGGAATCTGGCCGCCCCAGCACCCTGACCTGCTCTGTGCCCTGGGCCTGTGAGCAGGGGACGCCCCCCATCTTCTCCTGGATGTCAGCTGCCCCCACCTCCCTGGGCCCCAGGTCCACCCTCTCCTCGGTGCTCACTATCACCCCACGGCCCCAGGACCACGGCACCAACCTCACTTGTCAAGTGAAGTTTCCCGGAGCTGATGTGACTACAGAGAGAACCATCCAGCTCAATGTCTCCTGTGAGTACCAGGCCAGGACACCTGGGTCCCCGAGAGTGTTGTTGGGAGAGGAGGGCTGAGCCAGAGCTTCAAGTTGGAGAGCTGGTAGTCAAACTGGAAGGCCCCTGCCCCATCCCTTTTCCTTGGCTCCAGGGGGCCAGCCCCTCCTTCGTTGTTGAGGCTGCCACCTCTTTCTGCCAGATGCTCCACAGAACGTGGCCGTCAGCATCTTCCTGGGAAACAGCACAGGTAGGAAGGAGCCTCTCCTTCCTCTCAGAGCCGGGATGGAGGTGGATAGAGACTACCTGGGATATGGAAGGGAAGGCAGGGCTGAGGCCAGACTCGGGGAGAGCCGAGGGGAGGCCCCCAGACTCCATGCTCTGCATCCAGTCCTTGGCTCACCCCAGCTTCCGGGGTCGACTGCCCCACCCCTCCCACCGCCCTTGTCTCTGATCTTGCGCCCCTTCCTGCTGCGGTGGGCTCCTCCCGGGTCCAGGAACCGCCCGTTTCCCACATCTCTGTCCCAGCCCCTGTCCTCCCTCGGGACAGCCTGGGCAGTTCCAGGGAAGTGGTCTGGGCACTCCTGAAGGTCTGAGGCCTGGACTCCGCAAGTCCCGCTTCAGAGTAAGTGTGGACCCACAGAGGAGGGATGCCCGCCCTGCCCACACCCCACGCCTCTCCCTCCCCACCTCTCTCCCTAAAGCCCTCGGGATCCTGCAGAACACTTCGTCCTTTCCTGTCCTGGAGGGCCAGGCTCTGCAACTGCTCTGTGACGCTGACAGCAACCCCCCTGCACACCTGAGCTGGTTCCGGGGGTCCCCCGCCCTGAATGCCACCCCCGTCTCCAACACCAGCATCCTGGAGCTGCCCCGAGTGGGGCCTGCAGAAGAAGAATTCACCAGCCCGCTCAGTACCAGCTGGGCTCCCAGCACGTCTCTCTGAGCCTCTCTGTGCACTGTGAGTGGGGGCGTGCACCGGATCCCGGACAGGGGGCACCCGCGGACCTTTCTCCTCCCTCCCGCAGACCCCCCACGACTTTTGAGACCCTCCTGCTCCCGGGCTTCCTCTTGGGCCCAGCTTCCTCCTGGGCCCAGACGTCTGCAGCTTCCTCCTGGGCCCAACCTGCCCCCTCCCTGTGCTGGCGCTTGGCGAGGAGCTTCTGGAGGGGAATGGCGGCCAGGGCGCCTTCAGCTCAGTCGGGTCCTGGGCCAGTAACTTCTTGAGCGTCAGCGGGAGACTGGACTCCAGCCTCGGCCTCAGCTGCGAGGCCCAGAACCTCCACGGGACCAGAGTGACGCTGTCCTGCAGCAGCCAGTTCAGGAGGCGGTGGGGGCGGGGGCCAGGGAACGA